TGGAGATGGAGCTGCCAGGCAAGAGGTCAAGAGGAAGGCCAAAGAGGAGATATATGGATGTGCTAAAAGAGGACATGAAGTTAACTGGGGTGAGAATAGAGGATGCTGAGGATAGAGTTAGGTGGAAACAGATGATTCGCTGTGGCGAGCCCTAATGGGAACAGCTGAAAGAGGAAGAAGAAGATGCTATGATAAATGGGAGCTGTCCATGTGGTCTGGTGGCTGTCAAACACAATACATGCACTGGCCCTTTAATGAATGGACCGTTTTATACATATTCATAGGAGAGTAGCTAACAGTTAGATGCACTATGATAACACACAATGCAAAGAGTCCATGATGATATACTGAAGGAAATCAAATAAGGTCAACATATGAGAGTGTAAAAGCTCACAGTCAATGTCAAAAACAGTCAGTAAGCGGTCCGCCCCAGTCTGCTGTCCCGTTCAGCTGCTCTCTCTGTCTCATTGCAGAGACTGAGCTGCTAGCAGCTGCATGAAGATAGCTAGCGTGAGTACAATCATAATACGGGATTTCAACCTTCAAAATAAAAGCCAAAGCAGAATTCAATTTACACATGGAAAACTACTGATACATAGATAAAGTTTCAGACTTGTCTATGTTGTATTCAATGCATAATCTAAATTCTTGAATGGCTCCTTTATTTTAGTAGAACTTATGAGGATGGAGGCACTAAGCTTTTTGCATATTGGAACTTGCTTAAAGGTTAATTATTCAAAGACTACATAGCAGAGATTTTAACGACATAACATGTTATTTGACTTTACTGTTGCATAGCATTTATTAGGAATTCATAAGTACAAGTTTTGTGGGATCTTGCACAGAAATGTAAAAATAAGAAGACATTTTTAATGGGTTCATTTAATTGTATTAGGTTCAAATTAACCCCCACGTTCATAGGAAAGAACAAAGTCAATGTCTGTTAGTGTTATGTTAGCCAAACACAGACAGCCCCTCATATAGCCGCCAGGTAATGTCAACAAGAATGAAGACAACAATATTCGGCAGTTATTGTGAAAGTGAGAACGGAAATCCGTGTTATTACCAGGCAGGCAACAGTGGAGCTGCTCGGTGGGAACAGGATGCTGTCAGGCCGAATAGACGCATCGACCTAACGGAGATAAAACTGCTGCAGCATCCTTTGTTCTCTGGAGCTGGATATCCTGGTAAGGACAGCTGTCTGGTGTAGTTGTGATGTTAACCTGGATGCCTGCCGTGCTTGGAATGACCGAAATGCTACGGACACCGTTGGCGTTAAAGCAGGATCTGTCTTTTTTTTATTTATTAATTTGCAGTCATGTCGAAATACAGCTATTGTTCCGCATATATAGGCAACAGCCAAGGAAAATTCAGTAGAATAAACATGTGTCTGTTTAGCGAAAGAGGCTATGTTAGTGGTGGCCGTGTGTAATGTAAAGAGCAGTGTGAGGTTTGGTGTGCTCGTACAGAGCTACCTTCTAGCACAGGCACGCCGTGCGGGAGCACATCCATGGCTGTGCTGCTGGAGCCTTACGTGGGGGTTTGGAATTACACTGCACCAATACTAGCGCGCGCACGCCCGCATGTCAGTGCGCAGGAGTAGTTACTGCTGGTGTCAACAGCTCGTGACACATGTACGATCTGCTCTTCCCAACCTCTTCAGGTATGATGGACGTGTCACCTTTGTCTCCAGTCTGTGCTCAAATAATCCAGTGTAGTCTACATCATCCATGTTTGGTTTGTGGTTACAGTTTTAAAGGTTTCATGTTTGGTTTGTGGTTCCAGTTTTAAAGCTTTCAGTAGACCTATCTGTACCAACATGATATCTAGGTTTCAATGCCAAAACATTTCCTGTATTAATATGTTACTTTGCTAAGTGTGTGTTTGACATGTTTTTGATACAGCAGGAAAAACCAAATGATCACATTTGTCATTTATTGGGTGGCCCTCTAGGAATAGCCCAAACCATATTTAGAATAATTAATGAAACATCCTCTCATTAACTTAAAAGGTATCTTGCACCACTGCTTTGCTTTACTGACCTCCGTACCTGCACCTTCACCATCACCCCCTCTTTTATTTTCATAAGCCAGTCTTTCAGATTGATCTTAAAATATAATTTGACTAACAGGCTACAGGATATACAGGACAAAGTTGCATGACTTTAATCTACATTTGTATGTCTTTGAAGTTGGCAACCCCATAGGAAACAAATTAAACTAGCTAAATTAGAATTTCCTTCAGATAACCACCTGTAAAAAAGAAGAAGAAAACAAAACTAAAATGGCCCCCAAGACGTATGAAAACCTAGGAAAACCCCTGACGTGTCCTGAAACCACTCCAGCCTGGTTTTGTGTGTATGCTTAGGGTTACTGTTGCGCTTAAGGGTGAACCCTCGCCCCAGTCTCAGGTCACTGCATGCTGAAGTAGATTTTCTTCAAGGACCTCTCTGTATTTGGCTGCATTCGTCCTTACTCAGTCCTAACTAGTTTCCCTGTCCCTGCTGCTGAGACCCCCCCTGCCTCACTGTAGGGATTAGCCAGGTGATGAGCAATCTGGTGTTCTCCAGACATAGTGCTTGGAGTTCTGGTGGTGGAGATAGCACCAGCACTTAATTTAGACTTTAACAGAGCAATACACTGTTAACCTGACAGTCAGCATGCTGTAAGCAAACTCATTGAAACTCCCATAACACTTGCTACATGCAGCCAATATACAAGTCAGTGGTGGTATATACCATGCTACACCTGTAAATATACCTCGTACAGATTGTACAGATTCGTACAGGTCTCTAGTTTTAAGTACTCTATTTTTATTCCTATTTATCCCATTTCACAATGAACATTCCTTTGTCTGTCTGCATTGTTTACTGCCTGTTTATACTGCTTATTTTGCATTGTTTGCACTGTTTGTTGCTTGTTAATACTGTTTATTTTGTTATATTACACAGCCTTATGTTGGTTTACTGTTTACTTGCCCCTTGCATGGGGATATGTACATACATATTGAGAACCGATGTACCAGAGTCAAATTCCTCGTGTGTCCGACACACCTGGCCAATAAAGCAGATTCTGATTCTGAATAAATCACCAAATCAGTTTCAGCCTTCTGCCTCAACTGGTGGGGTGACTGGATAGAGGAGTGAGAAAAGAAGAAAAGCATCAGGAGACAACATGTTATTATGGTGCCATGAAATATCAGAAGACATAACATGTTAAGTATCTTTACCACAGTGCAATTAGAAGAGGCAGGAAATCATACAACAGTGTGCACACTAGAAGGCACATGAGTTTCATTCATTACAAACATGAAAACCAGTGTTTCCCCTAGAACATTTATTCAGGCATGGTGGCAAGAGGATAATAGAAGTTTTGTGGACATGTGCTAACATTTTTTGGTTTATTTCTTGTGCAAACACATGACCTTTGGTTGGTAATTTCCATGTTCATGCAAAAAAAGGAGATCATTAATAAGATGCATTTATTGGATACAAATAACTATCTAATCTTCCAGTTACGTCTCAATCAAAGAAGTTAGAACAATCTTTAATAAACAATAAATAGCACCAAACAGCAGAGTCGGGAGAGTGGTCAGAGTAGGAGTAGAAGAAAGAGAAGGGCATAGGGCAAAAACTCAAAGTAAATTGTTCTAGGGCTAGTGAGAGGGGCATATGGGCAACAGTTAATTCAGATCTGGTAGATGCTTTTGAAGCATTGAAAGAGATAGTTGAGAAGAAGCTAGAGAAAATGGGAGATGCAATTTATGCATACGTAGTGCAAAGGTTTGGAATTTGCACGCATAAAAATAAAGCAGGATTAGCGATAGTATCGTAAAGTCAAGGCGGCAGCAGCAGATTGATAGGCTTGTTCAAGAACAAGGACAGATAGCAGTGGAGAAAAGCAACAGAAAGTGAGAAGGTCACTGGATCTTCTGCCGATGTCCACAGGAGGGGTGGGAGGGGTTGAGCTGCTGCTCTGGTGTTGGAGGACAGGATGTTCTCCGGTTTTGTTAGGGGTATGTGAGTGAGGTAGGGCCCAAATATACAGACCTTACTGAGGTGAGACACAAAGGAGTTTATCACTGTAAATAGAACACTAGTATGCAGAGTGAAACAGAGAGGGGACAGGGACTGAGCAGGAAGCTGAGGGACCTGAGGACTGTGGTGTGCAGGAGAGACTGGGTGACGGACTCCAGGAGGACCAGTGGACCAGGGTGTACAGGTGAGTAGGCAGAAGGTGGCAGATACCAGGAGGACCAAAGGACCAGGATGTACAGGTGGGTAGGCTGGAGATGGCAGGTACCAGGAGGACCAGAGGTCCAGGATGTACAGGTGAGAAGGCAGAGGGGCTCGGGGTACAGTGTGGCTGGGGAGCTGGTTAGAGCAAACTGCTGGGGCGAACACCTTGTGTAAGCTCAGACTAGACGGCAGGAGGAGCAAGGAGAGGTGGAACTCAGTGTTGCTGGCAGGCAGATTTACACACAGTGTTGCTGGCAGGCAGATTTACACACAGCGTTGCTGACAGGCAGGCTGCTCGCAGTGTTGTTTCAAGCAGAAATATTTTGCCAAAGATGCAGAGGAGTCAGCGGAGATAATCAACAGTTGTCAGCACAACTAGTAGTCCTTCGTAACAAGAGCTTAGTCTTTGATTCAGCAAGGAGCGAGTCAGGTGTCTCTGGAGATGAGTCCACAACGTGGCAGCAGGACCAGGTACAGTATGTGGCAGTGAGTAACTGTGGCAGTATGATCCGGCATAAGACTGGGGGAAGGGAGGAGTATAAGTACCTGATGGTAAAACAAGAGATAATGAGGGACAGGTGAATGTAACACATGGTGATTGAGGACCGGGGTAAAGCTGGAGTGGGTGAGATGAGGTGGAGCAGAAAAAAAGGGCCAAAAATAAAGGCCCGAGAACAAAAAACCGAGAGTGAGCCACAACAGGTTTACATGGGCTCTATCAGGAGCTGATGACTGGCAGCTGCTCTGAAGCTGAATGCACCGTTTATGTCTCGCTTCCAGTCAGGCTGTGGTTATGCTGTTGACTGGAGCTCTGAGTAGCGAAGTGTTGAGGACTTAGTTTTGCAACTGCTAAAAACTTAGGTTATAACTGTCACTTAAAAATAGCTGGCCTATATTAATCCACATAATTATTAAGTGTTAGTTAACCTATTAGTATCAGTAAAATGTTCCCAGCCTATGGCTTTTTTTTTTGGCCAAAATATCAGACCGTCCAGTACATGACTCTCACAGGTCTTTGTTAAGAGAGAGCAAAACTGAAAAATGACACCAAAGCAAAATTCAAGATGAAGTTGAAATTGAGCTGCTTGGGAGGCAAAGCTGTGCTTCATGCCTTCACCACTCTCCTCACTTGCTTCTTGTTCTATCTGTGTCAGTATTCATTCATTCATTCAAAAATTATATTACATCAGAAAATAATCCAAGAATCCAGTACGTTACAAAATGTATCTGTATTTGCAGTTTAGTTGCACGGGAACATTTTAAAGAGTCCATGGCGCTTTTCCTTGTTTTCTGACTTATCTACAATATTAAAATGGTGAATTATCATCTTAAACGTGGCCCAAAGCTAAAAAAAATGAGGTGCGCGTATTTTTTAGTACTTCTATACAGAAGCAACTTGGTTTATACAAATCTCGCAAACTCTCACTCACGAGACTTTTTTTTCCCCCAAGAAACCCTCCGTCAGTGAACTGCATGACTACAGACTACTCTGACTTTTGTGGTTATAAAGTGTTTTAAAAGACTGGTGTTGGTACACTTGAAGGACATCACAGACCCCCTGCTGGACCCCCTGCAGTTTACCTACAGGGCAAAGAGGTCAGTTGATGATGCAGTCAGTATGGTATAGCATTAACAACACCTGGACTCCCCAGGGACCTATGCACGGACTCTATTTATAGATGTCAGTTTGGCATCCAAGCCATCCTCCACTCCAGACTCACTCAGCTCACTGTGCCTACCCATACCTGTCAGGATTACCAACTTTCTCACAGACAGGCAGAGGATGAGGCTGGGGACACTCAAAATCAGCACAGGTGCACCCTAGGGTTGTGTGCGCTCCCCACTGCTGTTCTATCTCTACACCATGAACTGCACCTCAGGGGACCCCTGTGTAAAGCTCCTGAAGTTCTCAAAGGATACTAATCCAAGATGGTGACAAGTTGGCCTACAGACAGGTGGTTGAACAGCTGCTCCTGTGGTGTGATCACAAGAACCTGGAGCTGAATACAGTGGAAATGAGAGTGGATTTAAGGAGGAGCCCCCTATCCTATCTGTCCTCACTGTACTCAGCAGCACTGTATCAGCAGTGAAGACAAAAATAAGTTGACTAAAAAAAGGTACAAAAGAAAAAGGCCAGAAGGAAAACAGTGAAGAAAGGAAAGATGAAAGAGGAAACAAAGAGCAAAGAAGGATGTAAGGAAAGGAGAAAGAAATGTAATAGTAAAGAATGAAATAAAGGAGGATTAAAGAAAGGTAAGAAGAGGTGGAGGCCAGAGGAAAGAGATAAAAGGAACAAAGTATGAAGGGAGAACTGGAGCAATAAAGGAAATAAGGATTACAGCAGTTCTACTAAGAAAGTCAATCTACATGTATCTATTGTTAATGTTAGAAGTATTAGTAGCATTAGAAAGTAGCAGTACTGTGAGAAATACTAGCAATGTGAGTAGAGACTTCTGAACATTCTACCATGAAAACCAATGGAGAAACAGAAAGATGACCAAAATCACCATAATATGTCAACAGCCAAAGCTCAAAAGAAAAAAGATATTACAAAGCTGACCTCAAGACCAAAAAGTCTTTGGAACGGTTTAAAGATTAGATGGTGTTTCTAGCCCAAAGTAAGACAACGCAGAAGGCTATCAAAAAGAGGAAGGTTTAGAAGAAGTTCAAAGTTTATTCTAGAAAAGTCATGGATTTGTTCACAGAGATCCATAGTACATAACAGAATCAGAGCAGCAACCAGCATAACTGGTTAAATTTTTGGAAAGGAGTTCAGTTAGAAGGTCACACACAGCTGTCTGTCATTTTGACAGAAAAGAAAACAGACGACGGTTTACCCTAATTTACAGTAAGGCTACTACAAATCCCAATAATTGCAATGGTGTTGATAAATTAGGTGAAAAAAGAGGAAGTGATGTGGTGGATGAAGGAAAACTGAGACCCAACGCATCTTGTTATCCGGGAGCTGGCAGTGTGTTGAATAGCCATGGACTGGAGGCCATGGAGCGCGTCTGTGACAGGTCACAGAGCAGTGTAGCTGCGCCTCTGGTCCAGAAGGAGCACGTGCTGTGGTTTTCTCCTGGTGAAGTGTGTGTTTCAGAGCAACTTCTAAACAGTTCCTGAAAGAAATTCTCCCAGACTTCAAAACTTTGGCTGAAGTGGAGCTGGCAAGTCCAGTGCAGCTGCAGAGAATGGGTTGAACTTTTATATGGTAAGGTCTAGAGATTATTATTATTGTTGTTGTTGTTGTTAAGAAAACTCAACAAATCCCACTTGAGCAGCACTTGGCAACAGGGAGTAGGAAAAACTCTTTAACAGAAGAAACCTCCAAGACACCCCGGCTCTTGGTGGGTGGTCTTTTACATTGACAATCCAGTCCTAAGCAGGTTGTTGTGTCCGGTGACTGTTCATCAGAAACATAAAACTCCAGAGCCAGGGCTATCTGCTGTGACTACATGTGGTTTGTAGTGAGGCTGGAGCAGAACCAGATTGTGGTCTGATTTTCTCAGTGGTGGCAGTGACACTGTATGCATCCTTCACTTAACATACAGGTGGTGTAAGGGTGGGTGGGGTTGAAGGGATGATGTCATTGTATCCAGCTGTGAGGGTGACAGTAGGACTAGCTACAGGAGCAGCAGCAGCAGCAGATGGAGACTGCAGACTGCCCACATCCCCTTCCACCGTGCTCTCCCACTTTGTGCTGCCACCTGTGATGGTCTTCATGCCATTCCAAACCTATCAATTGGACCTTGAGTTCCCTCTGCACGCGTTATAGCTCATCCTGGTCTCCATCCTTAAACACCCTCCTCTTCTTGTTAAGGAGGCCCCTGATGTGGCACATAATCCAGGGCTGTGTTAGTGCACAGTTCCTGTGGGAACAACAACATCTATACAGAAGTTGATGTGGTTGGTGATGCAGTTAACAATCCCTTCAATGTCCTCACTGCATGACACCTGTAGCACTCCCCAGTCAGTAGACTGAAAGCAGTCCATCAGAGCCTCCTCAGCCTCAGGAGACCACTTCCTGAAGGAGTGTGTGGTGGTGGGTTGCATGACTTCCTGTGGTTTATAGTGAGGGTGGAGTAGAACCAGATTGTGGTCTGATTTCCCCAGTGGTGGCAGAGGAGTGACACTGTATGCATCCTTCACATTAACATACAGGAGGTCAGTAGTCCTATTTCCTCTAGTTGGACAGTCCACATACTGGAAAAATGCAGATAGTGCAGTGTCCAGTGAGACATGGTTGAAGTCTCCGGAGATCAACATAAAGGTTTTTGGATGCTGTGTCTGCAGTCTTGCGATAGTTGAGTTGATGACGTCACATGATGCTTCCGCATTTTCCCATGGGGGTATGCAAACATAGATAACAATGGCATGTGAAAACTCTCTGGGCATGTAGTAAGGTCAGAGACTCACAGCTAAAAGTTCAATGTCCCAACAGCAAATAGTCATCTTCTCAGTTACATGCCCGGGGTTACACCACCTGGTGTTAATAAATAGTGCAAGTCCCCCACCTTTGAGTTTCCAACTTGTCACGGTGTCTCTGTCCACTCTGACTGTAGTGAAGCCAGGTAGATCCACATTAGCATCCTGGGTGCTAGCGATTAGCCATGTGTTGGGTTATTTCTTAGTTAGATAGATATGGATTAGAGATTTGTTGTCTAGGAATGTTAGTGCAGCCAGGATGTCTTCCTCAGGCTGTTAAATGCAAGGTTTGTTAAGGCAGAAGGGCTCAAGTCAGGGACGAATGTTATTATGACTGTAAAAGTAACCATAATATTTGTCTTAATGTGTAATGTTATGTCAAATTGTTTTAGATACACACCACGAAAACAACAGCCACACACATTATTTTCTTCATGTTTGGTCTACTGCTCTGCTCAGCTGCCAAGCTGGCATATCAGGTGACGTCACGGTTCGACAGCCCAGAAAGGATTAATATTGTATAGCAATGCTTGGTTCGGGGTCTTCCTGTTTCCGGGCTGCTTTTGGCAGGCTGGGGGTTGGAAGATCTCTGGACTTGAAGTGTAAATTCTTGCCTGTGACTTTTTGAATAAACCAGCACGGATATATTTTTTATATACTCAAGTGGTCTGAGTCGTCCCTCTGAGTTCCTGGTTTGAAAGAACCGGATGAGGCTTTATAATGGTATTCAGCCTTTACATGTGTCAGTGAAAGAAAGCAAACTACACTCTCTGTAGACCCTCACGTTCTTCACCAGTGCAGCTAGGTTGTTGGTCTTGTTGGCCAGTGAATTAACGTTACCCATAACCACTGACAGAACCAAGGGTTTGTACCTCCACTTATTTGCCAAGCGCCTAGCCTTTAGCTTAGCCATCTTGGAGTTGAAAAAATCCATATCCATAAGACAGAACAACTAAGCACTACTGGTGAAAAAACACAGTAAAAGAGCAAAAAAACAAACACATGATGAAGCTACTGAAAAGGCTGCCACTCACATCAGCACTGGAAGTTATGTGTTAGAGAAAAAGAATTAAAGTAGCACCACTGGAATTTGCCTGCTTGGTCTCATGCACTTTGTATTTTAGGATGTTCTTGTAAATAGGTGTTACAGTTGAAGTTAGGAGTTGGGGTTAGGCAGTGGTGTTATGGTTAGTGAATGTAAGTCCTCATGAGCAATGAAAAGAAACGTGTGTGTGTGTGTTTGTTAAGCAGATTAAGAGGTGCGTTTGTGCTGTATTGCATGTGCTCTGTATTTGTGTGTCCTAGCTATTCTTGCTATTGTTGCTAGGTGCATGATGTCACAGCCTAAGTCTAACCCCATTGGCTGTTTCTCTCTCTGTTTTTGTTTGCCCATTTCAGGTTGTGTGGCCAGTTGAAGGGAGAACTGAAGTGAGGGTGGAGAGACAGCAAGGCTTTCCTTTCCCACATCCTCTGCATTTCTTTGGGCCCTGTGGAAGCACTCATCCACACTGCACCAAACCACCCCTTTCCCTCCTTTCCATTCTGTTACTGCACTTGGTCTCTCTCTTCTCTATCCATCTATCTTGCTTGTTGAATAGGTCAGTGGAACCTGAGCACCACAAACCTCTAAGTAGTGCGAAGTGAGTAAAGTAGCCTGAAGTCATTAAATAAGGTTGTAAAACCACTAACAGAAAGAGGTCATCAGACTCAGGCAATGCACTAGTATATTTTATGCAGTACTTCACCAACCCCAGCCCAGAGTCTGGTTCAGTCCCACAGGGGTCCCACAGGCAATGAGGAGGGTCAGGAGCTTTATCTCTTTCTAGACGTTCTCCTCTCCACCTTGTGTCTTCATGTTTTGGGGGTCTTCCAGTGCCCTCACCCTCTGTCAGCCCCCTCCCCACCCTCTGCCACCACGGCCGGCCACCCCAGTCGCCTCATTGCCATGCCGACAGAGACACTGGCTCCAGCCCTCCCAGATAGCAAGGCCGCTGGCCCTGCAACACCCTTCAGTTCTACTGTACCTCTTCGCATCCTCAATAAGGGCCCTGAATACTTTAGGAGACAGGTACTGTTACTTTACTTCACTGTGTGTATGTTGCTGTACTTGCTATATAGTGGGGACCAAAAAAGTACTTTTTTGCTACAGAGTGAGGACATTTTTGGAAAGTTAAGACATTTTGGCCGGTCCTCACTTTCTGAAACACTTTTTTGAGGGTTAAGACTTGGTGTTAGGGTTCTGGTTAGAATTAGGTTAAGGTTAGGCTTAGGGGAAGGGTAAGGGGCTAAGGAATAAATTTTGTCAATGAGTGTCCTCACAAAGATATTAGTACATGTATGTGTGTGTGTGAGAGAGAGAGAGTAAAGTTGCATGCAAGAGTTTGGGCACTTTTCTGTTTAGCTGATTTTTCAAGTTAAAATAACTACAACTCCTGGAGCAAGTAGACATTAAAATAGGCATTTACTTTCACTTAACTTTTTACATTTACTGTACTTTATAGACAGGTAGAAATTTGTTGTCATAGCAGCCATTAAATCTATATCAAAACAAAACAATTTAAATAGTTAAATCAATAGCTGACCTGTTGGTCCCATTGCTGTTCATGAAGTGAATTTAAGAGGTTACTCTTATAAAAATGTATTATAGAGTCTAATTTCACCCAGCAGGAAAGACCTCCTGTAACTCTCCTTTGTACACTTCAGGTGAATCAGTGTGTTGCTGAAGGAGCGCCTGTGGTTGGTTAACACTGTACAGGGGGTGGGAGGTGCTTTCTAGAATCACCTGCAGTTTTTTCAGCATTTTGTCCTCTACCACCTCCCTCAATGTGACCATCTTAGTTCCAGTGACAGATTCTAACCTTTTAATGGCTTCATTCATTCTGTTGGCATCCTTTGCTGTGATTCTTCCACCCCAGCGCACCACAGCAAAGTAGATAGTGCTTACTACAACAGACTGATAAAACATATGAAGGAGTATTACAGACATTGAAGGACCTATTGTAAGCCTTCTCAGAGAGTAGAGCTGGCTTATAGATGGCCTTGATGTTGGTGGACCACTCCAACTTGTTGTTCAGGTGAACAACAGATATTCAGATATCAACAGTTCATATAATTATGGATGATCTCCACATCAGTCCCATTAATGGAGACTGGAGAGGGTGGGTCCTTCTTCTGAAAATGCACTATGATTTGCCATGACGCAAAGTGGGCTGCCTTGGAGGGATTGACTCAGCGAGAACTGGTGCACTGCTACTGCTATCTAACCAGGTTTCTGTTAAAGAATAAGGCCAGTTATTTTCTGTACTAAGAGTATTTTAAACACTCCCTATACACAGACTACATCCAACAATAATTTGCTTCCACTCACTGTTAACGTCTGCCAATCTGTCAGTCCACGATTATCTTATTTGTCTGTGCCATAGAACTCCACTGTCATTCAAAAATGATGAAGAACATCAGTGAAAAACACAGCTGCACAGGGTAACATTTCCTCATTACAAATCACCAGACCCTAATATTTTTATAAGCTAATCTAGGACTGACAGATGGACAGACAGTTACCGTGAGTAGAAGCAATTCATTGTTAGTTTTAGTCTCAGTATGGGTTGAAAATACTGTTAAAATAGAAAATAACTGCATTATCCTTTAAATGCATAAAGTTAAATTATTAATAGTGATAAGCGCATTCATTAAAAATGACTAGTTGTTAACAGACTGGCTATTTAGTGAAGCTACCTTTGTGGGATCAGTGGGAGGGCCCTGAGCAGACTGATCATGGCAGGGAATTTCTTAACAGATTTGTTTGGATTTGATGACTAAGCAAAGTGCACCATTCTCTCTCTATTATGGCTTTTATCAACCTCTCCTGCCAAGCTGTGGTGTGCGCAGCAAGGGCGGAACCATACCGAGCTGCCCCCAAGCCAATGCGTTTTTTTGTTTCCGCTGCACCATAAAACGCGTTGTTTATGTTCTGCATCTTGATCACGTGGGGGGTGGCACGAGCCACTGGGAGGTAACACGTACAGTAATTCATGGTGTCAGTGTGGTGATACTATCTTGCATCATGGAGCCCTTGGTGCTATGCATTGTTTTAATCCCTCATCAGAAGACCATTTGTAAATCTTGCTGCAATGAAATTACAGATACAAAGTGAATGCTGAATGTAAATACTATCCCTCGACACAACATTTCAGCCAGTCACGTCTCAATGAACTGGCTCTGTTGAAGGTGGAGCTGGGCCCCACGCGACCCTGAGTGGAAGAAGAGCCAACTGAACCCAAGTCAGCAGAATTACCCCCTGCTGTAGAAACTCGTGAAAACAGAGGCCAACTCATGCCTTTCTGGCTCGGCACGATAAAAGTAGGTTGACTGATGGAAAAACAGCATTAGCTGTTGAGACAGGAAAACTACTGGCACACTGGGTCCCAGTTTGTCCTGGAAGCATTCATGAGTGCCATCATCCTGGACCCAACAGATATGAGTAAGAGACAGTTTTATTTGTACACAGTCTTTTGTGCTAACTGGATGTACTGTTTTACCAGGCTAGAGAAACAGGATGATTTTGCTGCTGTTGTGACAGAGGGGGAGTAGCCAGACAGCAGCAGGTGTTAAGGCTGGCTGGGAATTAATGCCAGAGGTGAAGGTGGGCACTGAGGGGGTGTTAGGGGAGAGAAAATAGGAGGTAGGTGTTGTGGAAATCAATAAAGAGGCTTTCAAGTTGTCATTGTGTAGTTTATTAAGCAATCAGTCAAGAGCATAAGCACAATAGCAAACTATATTGATCAAGAGGTCACACACTCGGAGCAAAGCGCCAGTGAGTGACAAAGGAAAGCTGTAATAATCAGGCTTTGTATAGCAGTGGTCATGCTATCACACCACTACCTGGAACCAATCAGAAATGTGTTTGGAGTATGTATCCTTCGAGATTAGACAGCTGGGCCCAGACAGCTAGGTTTTCTATGCAACAGGCTTTGTGTGTGTGTGTGTGTGTGTGTGTGTGTGTGTGGCAGTTTGAGACTGGGTGTGAGCGTGTGTATGAAGTGTGCATGTGTGTGTGTGTGTAGAGAGAGACTGAACCTGTGTGGAATGTCTGGGAGCCTAAAAGAGGAGCATGAGGTTATAGGAATAAGAAGTACATACACGCAGCATGAGTATTATATTTGGAGAGGGTGACTAGGGAGGAGGAAGAACTGGATATAGTTAGACCTTTCTGCCTGATGCCACTTGTTATCCACTCCCATAAAGACCCACTCCTAAAACATACCTGTTGATTTGCTCTTGATTTGTGCCTCTGTTAAAACAACTGTCACTCAGTTTTGTGTGGAGGACTATAGAGGATGGACGTCGGTGGGAGGACACAACTCAAAATCAGGTTAGTTAAATAGTGAGATCATTCAGTCCCTCTACCTGTTTTTACTATCCACCTCCATTATTGGAAAACCGTGACTAACTTCTCACTGTTCTGTGGATCACTGGTTTACTAAGACACTTCTCACTGCATTGAATGTGGGAGCTACAGCATTTCTGCTTGTCACCAGGGAAAACCTGGGCTGGATTCAGTGGCTAACTGGATTGGTTTCTTTGACTTGCTGTTTGCCGTACTGTTGTCACATACTGCATGTATTGGTCTGTGGGAAGTAAAGAACAAATAAAATCTTTCCTTGCTTTCCTATAACTGGTTCCACTACTTGCACCACTGAAAGTTAATAATCACAAGCAATTGTCAGCAAATAGCCAGTTTTTTGATATTTGAACTATATAGTCTGCCAATTACACTAAGTGGATTCTCCAAAACACATCACCATTGAGCTAAGTCATCATAAACAACACCATTCTCTAGATAACAGGAGCAGGTCAGCGTATGAATCTCAGCTGAGCTGAACCAGCTCGGAGCTTTCTCATCTGATCGGAACCCTGCAGCTGTCAATCTACTTCTTCAACGGTTGTCCACAGGCCCCCATACCTGAACATCTCAGGTGTGAGATTTTGCTTTGTGTCAAAATCCCTGACCTCTCTGGCAGCTGCATGTAGGAACAGTGTTGGTGACTAAACACTGAAAAGCAGGGCTATCTCTATACCTCTATACATCTTTATCTTCAAACAGTTAACTTTCCCTGCCACAAATGGGCCTGCATCTTCCTGCACCTGTGTGAGCTTTTTAATCAGCTTCATACGTGTCATTCATTAGAAGGAGCGCCTCACAGAGGATCAGTTATCACTTTGCTAATCAGTCCCTGCAACCTGCAACAATTTGAGAAACACCAGTCTCATCCTGCTCATCTTGAAGAACCTTTTTCTCTGTTCTGTGTGCAGCTGTGAAAGCAGTGAGATTGTTTCTGATAAAGTACACACCAGTAGCACTGTGAAATGTGACATTTGGTGGTATACCTTTTTACTTTGCTCTCTGCTTTACCTACATTCACTGAGATCCTTGTTTTTATACTAAAAATGTATGGGCAGTGACTACTGGATACTTATAAATCACCGGGATCTTCTTTTTTAATAGACACCTAAAGCTAAAACTATATTTTTAAACACTTTAGTACTCAAGGCTATGAGGCCAGTGTGGCCTACTAACAGAACAAGCCCTTTTTTCCTTTCTGCTATAATGATTTACAGTGACTGGGGTTAGCTGAAGCTAGTTAGCTGTAAAATGCCCCCTTTTTCTTCAGAAGACTTCCACAAACTTCTCCAGATGACTGCATTGCTTGAAACAAAGATTAATCGATTAGACATTAACAGACTGTGTGGGAATGACAATCACCTTACTGTTGACATGAAACAGTGGACAAGAGGATTCTAACACACAGTTAAATAGCACCAACAAGGCTACTGAGAAACAGGAGGGTTCTCTGCTTTGTAATAAAGTAATAGTCCTCCTTGGGACTCTTTTGGTGCTAAGTCAAAGAACAATTCACATCCCTGGGAAATAAAAGGACAAGTGGCCCAGTGGCCAGCGACCTGCAATGCTACCAGCTGGGCTGCATTACCTAGAGTGCCTCATCAGCCTCATCAACCCATTGGTAGCAGCACACAGCAGTGGACAGCTGCAAGAGGGAAAGTTAGCAGAAAGCCTCCTCAACAACCATGCATACAACTTCATAACAGATTTACGATGCTGCTGAAGGATCCTGGATCTTTGTCAGATGACCTGGATAACCTCTCATCCTCACAAAGTGGGGTAAGGAGTAAAAGAAATTCTGAAAGCAAAGTGCCTAAGGGAAAGCTAACAACTCAGCCTCAGACTTTGATTGTGGGTGACTTTGCTGTTAAAAATGTAAACATGGACAGCAAAAATACCAGAACATACTGTTTTTCAAAGGATAATGTTGCTGACATGAGAGAAAGAATTGCAAATATTCTGACTAAACACCCAACTATAAAAACATCATGGTGCATGTTGGGGCCAATGACAATGTGAAACTGATCAGAAGTTCTGAAGCAAGATTTTACTGATCTACTGAGCACACTTAGCTCCTTGAAAAATTAGGTGCTTATCATTGGCCCTCTACCACCAGTCAGTAGAGGAGATGAAAGATTCAGCAGACTGATGGCGCTGAACAGATGACTCTCAACTGTGTGCAACCGACAGAAAGTATACTTCTTTGATCACCTTAATTTCTTCTGGGACCATAGACATCTTTTTAGGGCAGATGGAATTTTCCTTAACAAGTCAGGAGTGAAACTGTTTATCTCCAACCATTTGTGCATCCTATGCCACTTATCTGTTGCTCCTTGTCAAGGACGAGACAAGATGAGCTAAAGAAAACAACACACCATGCCAGCAACCATGAAAGAGTGCCACTTCAGGATCCACCTGAGGAGACTTTAAAACTTGAGGGACATTAGGGTTCAGAGAGAGAATCTCCACCCCACAACTACCACACACTCTTCACCTTCCCAACATCCCCCATACACATCCAGTGCTGCCTTCTCCCTAGCCATGTTTTCCCCCTCTACTCCCCTTCTGGAGTTCAAAGACCAGAAGAAGGATCCGGTTATTGCTGGGACCAAACTGACCACTCACTCCTTACCCTGCCCAGCTCCTTTTATCTCTCCCCCAACTATCCTTGAGGGCCCATCTCCACCTTTAAGCAAAGTGAGTCTTGTCAGACAAGTCCTGTCAGCACATGAGATTGTGTGCAAAATACAACTTTCTCTTACTGATATCTGTTGGGTCCAGGTTACAATGATAATGGTGCTCATGAATGTTGCCAGGACAAACCGGGACCCAGTGAGCAAACAATAGTTTTCCCTATCCTTGTGATGATAGTTAATCAAAGAGAATGATGCACCGTGCTCAGTCATATAATCCAAAAAGATTGTTTCTTACCATCCTCAGCCTGCTCAGTGCCATCCCACTAATTCTACAGACGATCCTTTATTAAATAATGGATCTTTTAGCAACAAGTCATTTTTATGATCTCATCACCACTAATAATCTTAATTTTATGCTTTTATCTGAAACTTGGCTAAACAGTAGCAACAGTGCTACAGTTCTCACTGAGTCAGCCCTTCCAAACGTGAAGTTTATTGATGTTTCTCAGTCTGAAAAATAGACTGGCCATAAATTTCTCCATGTAAAACACAAAACCAGACCAACTTCAATTTCAATCGCAAAAGGCGTCTCATGACACTTTACAAAGTAAGGTCTAGACCTTACTATTATTATTATTATAATAGAGGAAAAAGCCAACAAATACTGGAATATTTTTTGGGAACTACTAGGACATCCTGATTGTAAAGAGTTACAGTATTCCAGCCTGGAAGTAACAAAGGCATGGACCAGTTTTTCAGCATCACTTTGAAAGAGGATGCTCCTAGTTTTTATGATATTGCACAGATGAATCTAGAGACTTAGTTTATGTGTGATGTAAAGGATATATCCTGATTTTTACGGTTTTCATGCCCAAGTATAATAATTTCAGTTGTGTCAGAGTTTAGAAGTAAGAAATTACAGGTCATCCATGCCTTTATGTTTTTAAGACATGTTCGAAGTTTGACCAACTGATCTGATTTATCTGGGTTCATAGATAAATATAACTATCATCTGCATAGAAATGGAAATTTATGCTGTGCTTCCTGATAATATTGCCTAAAAGGAGCATGTATAAAGTGAAGAGAACTGGACCTAACACAGAGCCCTGTGGAACCCCCTGGTTAACTTCAGTCTGCATTGAAGATTCATCATTAACATGAACAAATTGGAATCTTAAGATTTTAATAAACTTAGTGTGGTTCCTCTTATCCAAATAACATGTTGTAGTTGTTGAAATAAGATGCTGTGATTAGTGGTGTCAAAAGCAGCACTGAGATCCAAGAGGACAAGTATAGAGGCGAGTCCTTTGTCTGAGGCAACTCTCTGGTGTAACTTATCCAGGGCTCCCACTCTTTTTTTTTCTCGCCAGCATTTTCTCTAGGTCCTACAGAGACCTGCCGCCCCTCCGACTAAAATGTCTACACAGCTTTTTGTGTTAGTGAAAATGGGAGTGAAAGTGTTTGGAGTGAGTCTTCTGATGTTTAGGAGCTCTTCTCTGGTAAAAGTAATCCAAGATGGGTTGCTGAAGACTGAGAAAGGTTAGTACTGTCGCCTCACAAACGGAGGTCTGAGCCTTACCTGACTGGTTAGGTCCATATACAGTATGTTACCCTCATGTGCCTGTGGTATAGCAATGTTCACTGTCTAGAGACTTTCAGGTAGGGGTGTGACAAGATCTTGTGCCACAAGATCTCTCGATATTAAACCGTGACAATATTTCTCATCAAGGCAAAAGCTGTCTTGATATCAGTACATAACAGAACCAGAGCAGCAGCCAGTGTGATGATACATTCACATTAGTTTGGCAAAAACATAAATCCCTGCTGTGTTTTAACACACAGGACTGTGCTGGTCAAGGGGTGAGGGGTTGCAGGGGGAGTGTTGTAGGCGTAATGCGGCCAACATTGTGACAAGTTGACGTGAGTGGCTTCACTCACATTTCCAGCCAGTGAGATTCCATTGTGTTTTGGTTAGCCGTGCTGCTAATGTAACCTACTCTACCTTAGCAACAATTCTATCACCAGTGTCGACCATTGATAGATCATCCAGCATGGCGTGTTGTTATGGTGTGTTAACTGTGACCCAAATTGGACAGCGAATAGCAGTGAATGCTCATGCTAACAAGGTAAACAAAAGTCTTCTTCCCATAGTCCCAGTGACCCCCGTATGTGATTGGTCAGTGCAACGCCTTTGCCAACTGATGTCACTGGTGCGGTGAGGGTGAAAATAGCATAGGAGGTCTCACACAGTTTCAGTTAAAATTTAGAAGCTCATGCATAGCTCATGCACAGTTATAAGGTCTGAAGAGCCTCATGTGAAATCATAGAGAGAAGCCAGTCACTTGAGTCTGTGGCAAAACCTTTCCCAGTGCTGCATATTGTTGTCTTTTACTGCACATGATAATTCATATTCAGAAAGTAGAACTGCAGTGACATTCATTACAAAATGATTAAAACATTTCAAAATTCACCGGCATTATTTTGCATTTTGTGACTTTGCATTTTTGTGATGTTCAGGTGAATAAAATATATGACAATATTTTGTCATAGAAAATTTCTTAAAAATAGTGTTAAAATATTGTCTCGTGTAGTTCTTGTGAGCCCAATATTGTGTATTGTCTGGTCTCATGAGCTAAGTGTATTGTCACAGCCCTACTTGCAGGTTTAGATGAAACTCTAAAATAGATTTGAAAAGGAGTGTCATTTGTCAGTCTGTCTATAAGTTTTAGGCCTGACAGATTTGTAACCTTGCCTCTGTCTTGATGCTTGGACAAGTGGGGATGAGAGAATAGGATATGTGTATATAGAAAATGAATGAGTGCTGTATACATTATCATATATTATTTTTAATCTGTGTCTCAGGTGGAACCTAACCTAAAACGCCTCAGTGCTGTTGAGAGATTAGAAGCTGACAAAGCCAAGTATGTCAAGAGCCAGGAAGTTATCAACGCCAAGCAAGAACCAATAAAACCTCCTGTGATGGCCAAGCCTCCCATTGGCCACACCCTCCTGTCAAAGAGAGGGTCTGGGATTGGTGGAGGAGAATGTGGAGGCGGGGTACCTTTCAAAGTATCCAATAACAATGCCAAGTCAGACACATGTGCAACAAGCAGCAGCAGCAAATGTGAGAACTTGAACCTGGAGATCCTAAAAAATCTTTTGAACTCATCATCCTCAGCAGGAGCTGGATCTGAAGGAATCGGAGGTGGAGCTAAAAGTGCTGTACTGATGAGGTCATCAGGAGCAATGGCCAGGAGTTGGACACCATCAGGGTAAACACATTTGTTATGCATACTATGTCTTGTGTAAAATACTTATTTAACATTTAAGCAGTGGTTATAAGCTGCTTTTGTATTCAAACACGTACTGCAAATCAGTCATCTTGTCTGAAATTTCCCAGATTCACCATGGTATAGTCCTAACTGAATAAAAGAAGCCAGAGCAGTGCCTAAGTACATTGCACAAGTTATGTGTGTATGCATATTGCATTATGAATTTTTCATGGTAAAATCTGTCAAATGTAAAAGCACAAGGTCAGCATGGTTAGCAACAGTTACCTCTGAATAATTAACAGTTGTGAATTATTATGTTCAGTAAGCAAGGCTGGCAAGCTGCTGTAGATTGCTAGCTTAACTAGGTACAATAACCATGGAGCAGTATATAGGCCAGTCAGAACCTAACCCTGGGTTGAAGGCTTTCCCAGGAAAACTGGGATTTCTGTTCATAAATTTAAATGAGTTTAAAACACATAATTGTGGATCATAACAATCACATAGGACATTAGGTATTATTATTATTAATTCAATTATTATAATTATTAATTAATTTATGTAAACTATTTTTAAAAAATGTTTTGTTTGATTTGATTTGGTTTATTTTTTAATTAGGATCTCTTTTAGCCCAACTAGGCTATTCTTCCAACCATCCCCAACATAAAACTTTACTTTAATAATTACAAAAAATAGCAAACACTTAAAACCTGCTATTGTCTTGTAGTAAATACTAGTGAGATACACCTGGAGTAGCCCAGCTCTTGTGATGAGACTCTTGGTTTATAATGTACTCACTACATGGCAGGAGTGCCAGATCATAGACTCTAGAGTTCAAGAGGATCTGATCTAAGATATAGTTAGGCCTTTTAACCCTAGTAGGGATGAATGTAGGGCAAAACCTTCGCATGGGAATGGGATTACTTCTCCTCCATAACAGAAGCTTGAGCAGCACTGTTCAAGTGATTGTGGTCTTCTAGATGTGCTTATTTATATTAGATTTTGCAACTTAATGCACTGTGATTAAGTGAAAGTGACTAAACTTTACCACACTATGGCCAAGCAGCTCGAAGCAGAGCCTTTAAGTTGAGCCTCTGTAGGCTAGCCTAATTTAACAGGGAACTCGATACCTCAAAACACATCTTGATAACTAAATCCCTGCCTAGAAATGTAATTTCAAGTGATATACGTGTGACTGGCCATACTTATTAGGTGGAGGGGTCTCTTACCTGGGGATTCTGAAAGAACCCCTGTCTCCCCTGGGTGATGTCAGAAGAAGGCAGCAGGAAAAATATCAAGGTTTTAAAAAGTCTGAAAATATTACAAAAGGATTGATTATATGGGATACAAGAGAGCTAAACCAAAATACAAAAATTAAAGATGCTCTAAAACTGAGGTTGTCACTGCAGCTGATGCCTCTTCTCTGCTCAAGATGAAGCCCTTTTGTCGCAGTCCTTTTATAGTTCATGTCCAGGGTGCAGCCACAAGATGCTCAGTCCACACATTACCTTGTCTGGTTAGTCAGTGACACAGTCCATTGTCTTACTATATGCACAGTTCCTCCCATAAAAGTTAACAAAATACAATGCTTTACTTTCATGGGATGAACTCCACACACAGCAACATATTTTTGTTGGATAACTGTATAATTGCATTCAACGTGTGTGTTCCTAAGTTCAATGTGTATGCTTTTTAGCTCCTACATGTGTGCATGTGTGCACCCAGGGTGTAATAACAAGCCTGTTCGCTTCAAACCAGAATAACAATTACTAGTTGTCTCGGTAAAAATGAAGCACATATGCAAATGTCTTCAACAGCTGAGCTAAAATGGCATTTCAGTTGGACAGGAAAATTTCAGGCTTGTACCAAGCTTTACATTTTCAAACATCCCTCTTCACATTAAAGTCAAACACTTTCAAACATGAACTCCTAAATTCATAAGTAAGCAGAATATACAGTATTTCTTCACAATAGTATCTAATATCATCAAACCATAAACACATGTTAAAATAAACAGTGATTAAAGATTAATAGAAAAATATTAATAAACAGCAGGTTACAACTTCTACTCACTCAAGTCATATATTCTGGATCAATCCTAAGCAAAGAAAACTCTTCCTGTAATGTAGATCACAAAAGCATCATAAAGTAATCCTTTATAGCATATATTTTGTGAAACACAGATGTTATAATCCACAGTAAACAGCAATCTGAAATGATAGACAAAAGCTGTCAAAATCACACTATGCTCAAAATATCATCAATCACATAAGGCTTGAGAGTATACATCATGTTAGCTGATACTGTCTTAAGATAGTTTAATGCAGAATATTTAACTGACATTCTCTTAACACCAAGATTAATGAAATTGTTATTCTGTGATCATAATGGATTTAGAAATCAAATTCAGTCATATTTATGACCACAGGTATGGGTCTGCAAGGCAGAGAGGATTGGGAACTTCACAATTTTCCAGGATTACCAACAGTCTCCATACATTAAAATACAAAAAATATCAAAAACATTACAACAAAATACAACAATTAAAACCCTTCATCTGTCACCACCAGAAACACCACCCTATAAACTAATCAGAATACATTACCATTGACCGCATATTGCTATTGTACCACATAAAATAACAGGAAACTGCTCTCATACCAAGTTGTAATTTTGGTTTTGGCAAGACATAATTTGTGCCTGCAGCTTTTCTTGTATTGAGCCGGTGCCTGTCCCTGACCAAACAGAGTTGGTCATAAATAGATTGTGGTTTCCTGTCCAAATTTACTGTATGTACATTATAATATATCTCAAAAGGCTTTTGTCCATGGTGTCATTCACCATCAACCACCCCAGAGGACTACCGTATGTAATTCAGCCATTGGGGTGCTAGACACAGACATCAGGACAATTCTAGCCACCTTATTGTGTGCCTTTTGGAGCCTTGTTATTTCACAGATCACTGCATTGCACCAGATAGCTGAGCAATGATTGATATTTAGTAGGAAAATTTGAAGTGCCTCCTTTATTTGTGCTGCTGAACATCCTGCAGTATACACAGTGATATTCTCAGCAAATACTGTAGTACTAGACTTAGATAATATATGTGGGAAGTCTTTAGTATAAATTAAGTAGAGGAATGTACCAAGGCAAGTGCCCTGTGGTACAACACACTTCACCACATGTGGGAGAGAAGAAATTCCATTAATAAACGTAGACTGCATTCTAACTGCAAGGTAAGATTTCAGAAAGTTTAAACACAGATTCACTAGAAACCATAATGCAAGTTTCTCCACCAGTATGGCATGGTCAACCAGGTCAAATGCAGAACTAAAATCAGTAAATAAAGCCTGATTGATTATTATCAATAGGATGCACAATGCTTTTCATAGAAATTGTTTAATCTTTTCTCCCAACTCATTCACCTTATTAACAAAATACCATGTAAATTGTTTGTAACATCATCAGGATTTGTAAGTATGTGTCCATCAACATAAACATTAGAACAAAGAGCTGAGACAGAAGCTCCAATCAGTCTTCATATATTAGGCTATTTCATGTTTTTTTTAATTATTATTATTTTTACACTTCTTGAAAGCATTCTTGTAAAATGAATCCTTTTTCTTGCAATCAAATTAAAGAGCCCATGGCGCTTTTCCTTGTTTTTAGACTTGTCTACAATGATACAATGGTGAATTATCATCTTGGATGTGACAAAAACCTAAAAAAAATGAGGGGAACGTATGTTCTAGTACTTCTATACAGGAGCAACTCTGTTTATACACGTTTCGCAAACTCTCGCTCGTGAGACTTAACAAACCTAACAAAATTAAGTATTACATGATAGTTTAAGGCTTTCCTTGAATGGTCATAATCTCCAGGTACTTGCACATTCATGTGAGCTTGCCTGACATCCACCGGTGCCCCCAACATACTGGCAAAATGTTATATTGCCTTGTTTATTATGTGTATTTTTAATAAAGCTTATTTTAGAAAAATGACATCTACCTGTGCCATTGTAAAAACAGAATTTTTCAACTGTGCCCAGTTGGTGGATATATTTTCCCTCCTGCTGCTGCACTGTGACCAGAGAATGTGGAGAAAAATACAGGACCTGAGGTTACTGCATGTCTGCGAATGTTCCTGTACAGGGACTCGCTGTTTTACCTGACCAGGTCTAACCTACAAGCAGCTGGCCAGTGAAGCCCCCGCAGCGGTGAATGATCAGTTCATCAAAGCTGGATTCCCCCAGAGCACAGTACCTGTTTGTTTTGACTGCTTGAGGCCAGCGTGTCTGCCACAGCTGATGTGTTGCTGGATAATGAGCGTCTTAACAATCCATGTTATTGTTGATGCTATGCTATGGAATTAATTTCACTACTTTGGGACTGTATGCGGTCATGTGGGAGAAGACACAGCAACCACTGGATGGATTTACTGACCTTGGAGCTACTTGAAAGGGAGATGTTTCCACTACTTGGTGGAACTTAATGGCAACAAATAACACGTGTTTTGAAAAGACACACATTGCATGTCTGTTGTTAATGCCTTATTTTCTGTAACGTTAGAAGGAATTGTTGTAAGGCTGGAGAAGTTACTATGTCTGCATTGTGCCAGTTGAAATATTCTCAATTTCTCAACTACCTGCTTTGTTTAGTGCATTACAAATTTCTTTTCATCGTTACGTTTACCTACAGTATTGTTCAAAATAATAGCAGTACAATGTGACTAACCAGAATAATCCAGGTTTTTAGTATATTTTTCATTGCTACATGGCAAACAAGTTACCAGTAGGTGCAGTAGATTCTCAGAAAGCAAACAAGACCCAGCATTCATGATATGCACGCTCTTAAGGCTGTGCAATTGGGCAATTAGTTGAAAGGGGTGTGTTAAGAGGTCATGTTGCCTTATGCTGAAGAGGACATGCCCTTGAAATGGTTGTTTCAACAAGACAATGACCCCAAACACACTAGTAAACGAGCAAAGTGTTGGTTCCAAACCAACAAAATTAATGTTATGGAGTGGCCAGCCCAATCCCCGGACCTTAATCCAATCGAGAACTTGTGGGGTGATATCAAAAATGCTGTTTCTGAAGCAAAACCAAGAAATGTAAATGAATTGTGGAATGTTGTTAAAGAATCATGGAGTGTAATAACAGCTGAAAGGTGCCACAAGTTGGTTGACTCCATGCCACACAGATGTGAAGCAGTTATAACAAACTGTGGTCATACAACTAAATATTAGTTTAGTGATTCACAGGATTGCTAAATCCTAGAAACAAAAACGTTTGTACAACATAGTTTTGTGTTTGTACAGTCAACGGCAGACACTGCTATTTTTTTGAACACACCCCTTTCAACTAATTGCCCAGTTGCACAGCCTTAAGAGCGTGCATATCATGAATGCTGGGTCTTGTTTGCTTTCTGAGAATCTACTGCACCTACTGGTAACTTGTTTGCCATGTAGCAATAAAAAATATACTAAAAACCTGGATTATTCTGGTTAGTCACATTGTACTGCTATTATTTTGAACAATACTGTATCTATGGAGGAGAAATTCAAATCAATATCGGTGCGGTTCGTCGTGCTGTCTGCTCTTGATACAACACTAGTAGCAGGAGTTGTGCATGTTCATGAACTATCCTTTTGTTTTCAGGAAGAGGCTCTCTGGTTTTATCATTCTGAAATAATTAGACTTTGTAGTTATGGTGGGTGCAAAGCTAATCTAGAGGTACCCAAGATTAAACATTAAATGGCTGGAAATGAGCAAAATGAGCAGCCACGGGCACTTTAAGTGCATAATTATGCCTTTTATGGTTTATTCTGTTGGAATTTAATTTTGACTTTGATGCAGTAACTTTTGCATTATTTCTCTCAATAAAAGCTTGCTGGTGTCATCATCTATCCAGGGGGATGGATGTGCTCTAACAGTCCTTTTCCTTGCTGGAACATAATGGTCCATTGCCTCTATTAAAAGCTGAGTAAAACATTGAGTGGCATGATCCAAATTATCCTCAAGATCCAGGGACCTGGATAAATCCTTCTGAAATTCATACTGGTTGGAATAAAACTCCTCTTGACAACAATATGAGGTGGTTTTCTGCTATCCATGAGTCATGATATGGTAAATTCAACATCAAGTTTAGTTTCTTTTGTAATGTCTACAAATAACACATGTTTTGAATTTCAGAAGGGCAGATTTGTTGTCAAAAAGCTTAAGTTGCTCTCTTGTTTCTTCTGCAAATATGCAACTGGAGGCAAATATGACCTTCAGATTCAGCCTATGTTCTTCACATGAGAGTTTGTCTTCCAACCTTGTACTACTGCATTACATCTATTTCTTTGTCTGTTTTCTGCTCCTAGGATGCCGTTAACCTACCGATCTACAATGGCACTTAATGAGCAACTACCAGACTCAGCTCCCAGTCCAAGCACCTCACACTCCCTCCGATCATTCTCCCACTCCCTAAAGGTCCCTCCAGTTAATAGCAGGGGGCATGGTTGTTCACAACAGGGAGGAAACCTCAACCTTAGCAGAAGAGTCCTGGATGAGAGAGGAGGTGAAAGAGGAGTAATTGACCGTTCTCGCTCCCCACTACCACCTCTGCTCACCTCTCACTCCTCATCTGACCTCCTGCGACTGTGTAATGGCAAGCCACTCCGGACTGCTCGATCCAGCAGCTCCTCAGCTCCACCCCTACCTCCAAAGCCCAAATCTGTCTCCATCCCTCCTCCGGCACTTTCCTTGTCGCTGCCTCCCCCTCATCCAGCTCCATCCCTCTTACCCTGTGACAACACCTCTCAGTCACTACCTTGTGGTTTTGGAGACCCTTCCAATACTTCAACCGATCCTAACCTAGAGCTTGAGCTTGGTTCATCTGTGGCTCGTCGCTCCTCGCTACACAGATCTAAATCAGACTTGTCAGACTGCTACGCCCGTGCTGGAGCTGATGTGGAGCGCTTTTTTAACTACTGTGGCCTTGACCCAGAGGAGCTGGAGGCAGTTGGTCCAGAAAATTTTGCGCGAGCCAGCTCAGATATTGTCAGCCTGAACTTCCGTTCAGCTTCTATGATCTCCTCTGATTGTGACCAGTCAAGGCAATCCTCCAACGATGGGCTGTCAGATGAGGATGAGGGTGAAGATGAGGAAGAGGCTGGGGAGCGTGTTCCATATGGCATTTCAGCTGTCGAACGGAATGCAAGAGTCATTAAATGGTTGTACAGCATCAAGCAGGCGAGAGAGTCACAAAAAGTTTCACATGTTTAGGACAAGCAGTTTCAGACTTTACTAGAGAGACCAGAATTTCTCACAGGTTTAGAGACTGTGTCCTGGAGCTGAACTGGAAATCTGTCTCAGACTAGACAGATGAATGGATGGATATAAGAGAAAGTCTGACAAGTCTAGGACAGGCTAGGTAAGAAAACAAAATTTTGTTTAGAAATTAATTGCAGAGAGGAAAAGGACTGTAATCTTCCTATGTCTACGATAACATGAACACTAAGAACAGAAAGGAATAAACATTGGAATGGATATAGATGAGCAAAATGTTCATTTTGGAAAAACAAGCAAACATGGAACATATCTGAAAACTAAATGTTTCTCTAATCACGCTGTATAAATCGACAGATAAAGTTGGATTGAGCAACAGAAACAAGAGCGAAATGCACTACAGTTGTCCAAGAATCCATAAAGTGACTGCCCTTCTAAAAGAGGAAACTTTGGCTTGTCAAACAGGTTTGACTAACATTTCATGTAGGTGTAGCATGGACTCAGACTTTTGAATCATTGCACACATCTCTGACATGTTCAGGGATTCAAATATATCTGGTTTGATGGTCATTCACAACAGTTTCTCCAGTAGGAAAAACAGTCAGTGTTGAAAGTGGGGACATCATCTTTCTCCATAGCTTGAAAGCTACTTACTGTAGCTACATTTGCGTGTTGTAAGTTGGTTTACAGAAATGCTAACACTAACTGGAAATCAATATTAAAACAAGATGTGTGCAGTGTACAAGTACTATAAAGAGTTCTGTCTGTTCAGTCCAAACCAGCTCCAGCCTCCATACTGCTATCTCTGGCATCACAACAGCTATTCTATTAGCAGTTCTTGAAGAGCTGACTAGCAGAAGATTTTTGTGATTTTAACAGCTGTATAATGTGTGGAGGATAAAGAGATTAAGAATTAATACCTTTTGTGTTTGAATTCATTCAATTTTAACAGTTGTATCATTCACATGATTCGGTTTGTTCACGGTGGCTCCACTGCTTCACTGATTGACACGCTAACGGGACTTTAGGCTTCTACTGTTTCTGTTACTGTAAAGCACTCAGCAAGCAGCTTTACAGTTATCCACAATTATGGGGTCAAATACAAAATTCTTATTACATTATTTCTCAGGTGGTCTGGTTACGATTGTCCCTTCAGAATTGCTAGTTTACCACATTTTGCAGCAGCACAGAGGAAAACAGTAGCTAGATTACTGATAGGACAGTGGCATGCAATAGTCCAGATTGCAATTAACAAATGTCACTTGCTGGAATACAAAGAAACAGTATATAAGTGCAACAGGCACTGCAAATTCTTTACTAATTGTAGAGGAAATAGGGAATAATGTTTTTTTTCCTGTGACAGAACAGTATTGATTTGACAACCAGAGGTGTAGTGGTATTTGTTGACATACCAGAGCGCACACACTTAAGTTGTGGCTCGTTTTGAGAGCTATGTAAATGCTTTTCCTAAGGTGACAAGTTTACATACATTAAACTTAGTCAGCTGTAATTGATGATCAAATGTTAGACTGACTTTATTCTCTGGTTTGGCAGATGAACAGTCATAGGGTGAATGTTATAGCCATAGATAATCTTATTACCAGGGGTGTAAACTCCACAAGGGTTGTGAAAAATTTCCAAGTAACTTCAAAACAGTGTTGATTTATTCAAAGGATCACAGGTAAAATTAACATTACACGCTCAGGCATCTTGCACCTCCAAACTGCTCGCAGGCAGATGTAAGATGAAAGACCCTGAACCCACCAGGCCTATACATTATATCTCTTCGGTTGGGCTAGCCCCATACTACACAGAAACGTCAACCGAGACGTCTCTGTTACCAGCTTTGCAGCTGGCCATAGCAGTAGTCAAAACATGAAGCAAATCAATGTGTGTGTGTCTGTTGATTAAGTGGTGTGTAGCTAAAAACATTCTCACAGACTTCTAGTACATGTCGTGACTTAAACATAAGAACATATTATGGCTAAGACTACAGTTATACACGTCATAATAATAATATTAAACACCCTGTCTGCTGACAGTCATCAACTCTTCTCTCTAGTTATTCTTGACCAGATGTACCCTGTAGAAACTCATAAGCATGACTAAGCATTTAACAGTCTAACTAGACATCCTATCTCCACTAAACATTTCTAATACATAAAGTATCTATCCCATATCTATCTGACTAAAAATACCTAACAGTCTACAGCTGACCACTCACAGGTACACAGGTAAAACAGTTTTGTTTAAATCCCATAATCACTTAAGTTACTGTAAATGTAAAGTCTGTTTCTGCTGCTGACCATTGCATCCCATCTCCGTGGTCCCTCGTGGAGATTACGGCCTACTTTGTCAATCTGGATAACCTGAGTTTTTTTTCTGTCACTTGTCTTTTGTAAATGGTGTGTATTCAACACTGTGTGTCACTGTGAACCATCCACATTATCAATATGTGGTTAGATAAAACAAACATTGGTGGGTGCAAATTCTGTGCACCAGAGTGTGCATTGTTTGAGCTGATGTTGTAAATCATTCACCATACCTTAAATTTTAATATCATAACTTAAACAATTCCATTTGTTTTACTGGTTTTCTGGCAGGACATACGCTTTACTGATTGGATCTTCAAGCGCTCACAGAAATGTAACATTCTGAAATTCAACTGGATTATGCAAATAAAAGTGGCAGAACATCATTCTGGTGCATTCCGGCAGCACTATACCTATGGTGACAGTCTAATTGACATAACATTAATTCCCATAGCCACTAGCTTTTGTGTAATCTGAAACTTGCTACTGATTGGTCACAGCAAAAACAAACAAAACAACTGCCAACTCTCTTGATATAAAATAGCAATTCAATCTGATTTTGAGATTTATGTGGACATATGTTTTTGGTATTGGTGGCTCACAGGCCTGCCTTACAATCACATTTCAGTGGAACAGTCAAATTGTGGACTGTGAAATGTTAGTTACAGTGTTGATGTCTCAGTTAACTAACTTTAAAAAGGTCCTGGTTGTTCACAATGACACTGCAAAAATGTTGACAAACTCATGAAACACAAATAGTGTTAAGCTCACTCAGCTTTAGCCTAGTTGAGCTAGGTATTGTCATTCAAATGAAGGTATTGGAGCATGTGACAACTGAGTTACCAAGGAAACAGAGGGCATTGATTTGATCTTGGGTTGGACCATTGACTGTAAAAAAATATGGATCCCATGACAACTCCCAGAAGTGAAGCCACCACGACCCAATGGCCCCATGGTGGCTGGTTGCAGTATAGGTCATACATTTTGCTGCCTCCATTTTACAGTTGTGATACACCAAGCTAGCAGTTGGCCATTGGCCACCACTGGGCTGTTGGTGTCTCCTTGGGCTTGTCTTCCCAGTGTGTCCCACACCATTGGCACTAGTTGGACCCTGATGGTGGGCCAGTCAGGCCTCATTGGTGAGAGAGACACCACTCTGCTTGGCTGTTCAGCTTAGCAAATCAATGCACAAGAAGAGAAATGTTCAGGAAAGCCCCTTCAGCCTGACAGTGTAGTATCCATGATTTCACACATGTAGTGTGGTTTCTACTTGTTTTTTACCTCTGTGACCTTCTTCCACAATGGCAGAGAACAGCAGTGCCATTTGCAACTTCTTATCAGGCTGAAAAAATCAACTAGGAGGTGTGGAAAGTCAGATGGATCCGAAGGGAGTTGAGCCCGTACCGCTGTGGGGTACCTGATTGATGGTGAATGGACCCAGGAAGTGTGGAGCCAGCCTCCTGGAGTCCCCCTTCAGTGGCACATGCTCCGTGAAGAGCCACACCTTCTGTCCCAGGCTGTAGTCAGGTGCAGGCCGATGATGTTTGTCTGCCAGCTGTTGGTTCTGCTCTGCCATGTGAATCAGGGCAACCCAGGTGCATTTCCACAAGCAACAGCAACAAAGGTGGGCCTGCACCGAGGGAACCATAATATCAGCCTGTTCGGAGGGAAGAAGAGGAGGCTGGTAGCCCAGAGAGACCTCAAAGGGGCCCATGGCTGAGCTGGCCATGGAGCTGTGGGCGTATTCCACCCACGTCAGGTGTTGACTCCAGGAGGAAGGGCCAGCAGAGGCGATGCAGCAGAGTGCCTCTTCCAGCTCCTGGCTCAAGCGTTCCACCTGGCCATTGGTCTGATGATGAAACCCTGAGAAGAGGCTGACCAAGGCCCCAAGGGACAAACAGAAGTCTTTCAAGACATGACAGGTGAACTGGGGACCTTGATCAGAAACTGCATCCTCTGGGATGCCATGAAGCCGGAAGACGTGATTCACCAGGAGCCGCCTTTGAGAACTGGCCAATGATTGACAAGATGGTGGTGTTTCTATGGGATGGGGGTAGGCCGGTCACGAAGTCCACCGCTATGTGGGACCAGGGATGACTGGGGATTGGCAGTGGCCTAAGTAGTCCTGCAGGTGGTTGATGCCGGGTCTTTGAATGGGCACAGACAGTACATGCCCAAACAAACTGTTGGGCGTCCAGGTCGAGCGTGGGCCACCAGAACCACTGGCAAGGGTGGCGATGGTTCTCCGCATGATGGGGTGACAGGTGAGTTGTGAAAAATGAGCCCACTCGAGGACCTGTGACCATATAGTGTCCAGGACGAACAACTGAGATCAAGACTGGGATCTGGTTGAGACATCTGTGTCTCATGGGTCTTTGCCTCTGTCTCCCAGGTAAGTCTGGCCACAATGCAAGACGTGGGCAGAATCGTTTCTAGTAGCCATTCCTCCTGGATGGAGGAAAGTTGTCATGACAGGACGTCGGGTTTAGTATTCTTGGATCCTGGACAGGTAAATGGGAACCTGCCAAAGAATAAAGCCCACCAGGCTTGTTGTGCATTGAGTCTCTTGGCTGATTTCAGATATGAAAAGTTTTTGTGATTCGTCCATACTAGGAACCGTTGCTCTGCTCCCTCTAGATGATGCCTCCTCCAGGGCTGCCTTGACCACTAGCAACTCCCCATTGGCCACATTGTAATTCTTCTCTGCTGGGTAGAGGCAGCATGAGAAGAAGGCACAAGAATCCCAAAAAAATCAAATTTATTTATATAGTATTTTAAAAACAATATCCAGCTGACCAAAGTACTTTACATGGCAGAATAAAACCACAATAAATGAATAAAATAGAATAAGATCAGTGCAAAATAAAATAAAAATAAAACACAACAGACACACAGATGACA